CCTTTCGGCTGACTGTGATGGAACAGAAAGAACTGGGTTCCAATTCCGTCTCTGCCACATACTACCTGTGTGACCCCCTAGACAGGACCCTTGTCCTCTCTGGGCTTCAGTTTTCCCTATTTAAAAAGAGAGGGTTGGACTTGATGACCTTGAAGGTCCTCTCTAACTTTCAATCTATGACTCCGTGCCTCTCACATGAGAAATTGCTAGGAAATTTTCCTTATATCAAACTGAGATCTGCCTCTCAGCAACTTCTCCTATCTCCTTTAGTTCTGTCCTATAGGACCAGGAATAACGAACCTAACCCCTCTTCCATGTGTCTGCCCTTTGAAGACAACAAGCATGTTCTTGGATAGTCAGTCTTGTCTTCTCCAGGCTAAATATTTCCACTTCCTTCAGCAGTTTTTGTGTTGGCTAGTCTCTCCCTTTTCTAAATTCCTTTTGCATTTTCATCTATATTGTACAATTAACAATGTGTTTCAGTCTTTCCATTTCCCTAGTCATACTAAGTAATTCAGTCCCATTTTCATTGGCTTAGAATGCTGACATAGACAATCTTGCTAATGAATCGCTTCCTGTATTTCAATTCAGTTGCTGGCCATCTGCTCACCATTGCTGCCTCAACTTTGGCCATCAGCATCAACCTCTCTCCCTAATCTCTAACTCAAGCTTGGACTCTGCTCCCAGACTGCTTAGCTCTGTTAGGTGAACTGCTGCTCCCAAAGTACTTCCTACCTTTTCAACACTGACCCCTTTCCAGCTCTTTTATGTGTTGCCTTCTTCCATTAGAATGTATGCCCCTTGAGGGCAAGGACTATCTAGTTTGCTTCTATTTCTGTCTCTAACACTTAGCATAGAACCTGACACATAGTAGGCACTTAATAAATGTTCTATCATCTATCTTTGTATTATCTCCCCAACTAGACAGTGAGCTCTTGGTGGCCAGGGTGATGTCTTATGCTTACCTTGAGTGAGTCTACCCATTGACTTCCCATAGTGCATAGCACATATCAGGTACTAGTAGACTACCTACAGAATGATAAACTGATTGACAACTACATTTTTGTTTCAGCTCCTCATAGAATCTCAGAGTCAGAAAGGTAATATACAGTTTGATTCACTGTCAGTAAGAATAATTTTTAAATTTACTGCAACAAATGGTCATCTACCTTCTGCTTGAATATTTCTAGCGATGAGGGGTTCACTACCTTGTAAAGCAAGCCATTCCATTGTAGGACAGCTCTAATTGTTAGGAATCTCTTTTCTTTTTTAAGAAGTTGTTGAAATCTGCCTCTTTATAACTTGAATCTATTATTTCTAGTTCTTCCCTTAGGGGCCAAACATTATTAAGTCTAATCCATCTTCCATATGACAGCTTTGACTTTATATTCCATGCCTCCCAGTGGCTGTTCCAAATCTTCTCTACTCAAACCATTAATACCTTCTGTATTTGCTCCTCTCTGAACAGATGTGTTAACTTCTTACTTTACTGAGGCAATCTGCCATAAGCTCTGCCTTCTTCTCCCTTACTTTCTGTCTCAGAACCCATCTGCATCATCACCCATGATCTCTTCTTCTGTGCCTATCTCTGAAGAAGAGGTGGTCTCTCTCCTTGACAGTCATTCTATCTTTTGATCTCTTTCCTTTCCATATCCGCCAGGACCTTGCTCTATTTATTATGCCCTCCCTCTCATCTTCTATCTTTCCTTATTTACTGGCTCTCTACCCACTGTCTACAAACATGTTCACGTTTACCCTGTCCTTTAAAGAAAACAAAATAAAACCTTCACTTGACCCTGTGAATCTCTCAAGCTGTTGTCCCACATTGCCCTTCCCTTTCATTACCAAATGCACCTCCTGCCTCCACTTCTTCATTTTTCAGTCCTTTGCAGACTGGTTTCCAATCACATCTCCTGATTGAAAGTGCTGTCTCCAACAATCTCTCAACTGATAAATCTAATGGCCTTCTCTCAGTGCTCATCCTCCTTGTAGCCTTTGTAACTTTGGATACTGTGGACTGCTTCACCCCACCCCATCCATTCCTTTCTTGGCTCTCATTACTAATCTCTCAAAGCTTTTCTCTCTGACTATTACTTCTTAGTCTCCTTTGTTGGATCATCATTCACATTCTGCCCTCTTAGCTAGGGTGTTTCCTAGGGCTCTGTCCTTAGGTTCTCATTCTCATTCTCTCCCTCTCCCTTCCTCCCCACATCTTCTTCCTTCCTTCTCTCCCTCTCTCCTCTTGAAAATTCTCCTAGAAATTTTATCAGCTTCCATAGTTTCAAGTATCATCTTTATGCAGATGACTCCTAAATCTATATAAATTGAGGTCAAATCTCTCTCTTGAACTTTAGTTATATATTATAAATTAAATACTAGCTATGTCCTCATTGATGTCCCATAAATTTGCCAAACTCAATTGTGTCCCAAATAGAACTCCTCACTATACTCCTCCCCCAAAAACATGCTCCTCATTTAAACTTCTTTATTTCTTCTTAGAGCCCCGTCATATTCCCAGTTGGGTCATCTTTGATTCCGTGCCACCCCCAACTTGATACCTCCCCAATCAATCAATTACCAGTCTTGTCAATTCTATCTCCACAACATTTCTTGAATTTATTCCCTTTCTCTTCACAAACACACACGGACACCACCTTACCTCAGGCCCTCGTCACCTGTTATTGCCTTATACTATGGCAATGGTCTTTTAACTGGTTACTCTACATTTAGGCTTTTCCCCTCCCAATCCATCCTCTGCAGAGCTGCCCAAATAATCTTCCTAGGGTACAGGTCTAACCATGTCACTCAGCTTAAAACCTTCAGTGGACCCTCAGTTCTTATGATCTAAAATACAGGTTTTTTGCTTGGTATTTATGTTCCTCCACAATCAGTAAAGTTAGGTGATTCCTACCTACCTTTCCATCCTTATTTCATATTACTCCTTTTATGAACTCTATGCTTTTGCCACACCAGACTACTAGCCATTCCCTAAATTTGATACTTTATATCCTGCCTCAATACTTGGACAAGCCACACTGCCTCCCTCCCTCCCCCTCCCCCCCTTCACCCCCATCCCATGGAATCTGCTACTTCTCCTCATCCCAGAATCCTCATCTTCAGTTTAATGCTAAGGTACCTTTTTTGTGAAGCCTTCCATAGTATCTCCAGTTGTTAGTACCTTCTCTTTCTCTAATTTTCCTTGTACATCTTTGAGGGCATGTTGTAAAGCCTTCTCCTCAATAGATCATAAGCTTTTTAAGGGCAGGGAGTATTTTATCTGTGTCCTTGCATCTCCAGTGCCTAGTGCAGTGTTCTGCCCATGCCAGGTGCTTAATAAATGCTTGCTCAATTTGTTGAATTGAAATGGAAGACAGAGATCATTTTAAGTCTTAAGTCTTTAAGTCTTCTCTTCACCAGGATAAACACTAAAATGCCTCTCAATGAGTTCTCCAAAGAAATGCTCATTGGTCCCCTCTCCCTCCTGTCTGCCTTTTTCTGAACGCTGCAGTGTGTCAACATCTTTTGTAAAATGTGGTACCCAGAACTGGGCACAAAATTCCAAATTTGCCCTCACCAGAGAAAAGAATGGTAGAAGAAAAGGGGGGGGGTCACTTAAAAACCATGCAGAGATGAAAACAAAAGGAAATCAAGAAAGAAGCACAAACAGGACAGCTTTGAAAGTTACAGGTTGAACTTACATATATGTATATGTGTGTGTGTATATATATACATATTAAAAAAAAAGCTTTATAGAAGAGAGTTCTTTAGTTCAATGCCCAATTCTCTTTTTTGTTTCTACTATATATATATATGGAGATGTCCATTTTATTTAGTATTAAGTTCTGAATTCACAATAAAAAAGGAATAGAATGTCAGGGATATGACCTCCTTTTATCTGGACCTACTACTACTTCTAACGTGGCCTCAGAAATTTATCACTTAGCATTTTTGTGGAGCTCTTGGCACATCCCTTGTTTTGGGGAGGGTACATACTCTTTAAAATAAATGTTACTTCCCTTACCTAAGGTAGAAGGACTGGTAGGAGAAGATGTTCCTCCCCTCCCACCCTCCACCCCTCACGCCACCTTGTGCTTTGGGGGGGGGCAATCCCACCAACAGGGAAAATGGAATGCTTTGTCTTAGTGGGCAGAAGCCCACTGCTAACCCTTTGTGTGTGTATGGGGTCACTTCTCAGGGCTGACCTGTGAGCTCTGTTTGAAAAGAAACCAAGTGGATCTCTGATGATTAGCAGAATAAACAAAGCAGTGAAATCTAATCCAAGCTCTCTGAACTTTGCCCTGATGCCTTCCAAAGGCAGACTAAGGCAGTAGAAGTAGCTCACACTTGGGCTAAGGGTGTCTTTATTCTGTTCATCTCCAGTCAGAGGTGAAGGCTTTGGATGTTCCTACATGGTTCTCCTCTCTCTTGCTTTGGAATAAAGAAAGCCTTTAGCTGGGATTCAGGAGACCTGGGAGGGGGTTCAGGCTCAGCACTTACTAGCTGAGTGACCCAGGAGTAAATCACTTCATTTCTAGGGCCCTGAGTTTCCTCATCTACAAAATGGGGATAATCATACTTGTATTAAGTTGCAACATGCTTATGAGCTAATAGATTTCGTTGTTACCAGGAACTATGTAGATGTGAATTGTTATTGTTGCATTTTTTATTTGGATAAAGCCATGAAAGCTGATCTTAGGAGACTGGAGGTTTACCCATCTCTTTACATATTATCTAATCTGATCCTCACAACAACTTTAATGGAGGTCCTATGATTACTCCCATTTTACAAATGAGGAAATTGAGGCTGAGGGAAGTTAAGTGACATACCCAAGGTCATATAGTTAGTAAATGTACAAGGTGGAGTTTGAACTTGGGTCTAACTCCAAGTCTATGCCACCTAACTGTTGTAGTATCTATAACCTTCAGAATCACTTAAGTCATACCTCCTAGGCCCTATCTTCTTTAACCCACTCAGTGCCAAAGGCCAGGCTGCCACCTACCTGGGTGGTATCCATCTCATTTAGCATCACCACCGAGGAGCAGTTGTAATCAAACACCAACCTCCAGAAGTCAGCTCCGGTGTTGGGAAGAGGGTGCTGAGTGACAATAAAGGCCGCTGGTTGCTTGTGGCTCTGACAAAAGAATAATATTGGCTTTTAAAAAATGCATCAATCAGCATTATTCAGATGACTATTAGACCCATGAGGCTGACAGGAGGCCATCTGAGTCATTTAAACTGATTATACAAAGCACTGAGACCTTCTCGTTATCAGCTCCAGAGTGAATGAAACCTTCTCATAATGGAATCATTCTCCTTCAAACTAAGACATTTCATTAGAAAAGTGTCACCAGAATAGGGATTATTCAAATAAATTATTTATGTCTGGGGACTCAGCAAATAATAATGATTAGAATATGAAATGAAATATACTGGGAGGTGATTTTTTTCCCCCTAGTTCCCCAACAACAGAACATCTGGGGATGAAAGAACACTTCTTCTTTGTTAGCTGGGGATACTAGGAGGGGCTATGGCAGGTCCGTGACCTCAGGTTCTGACCCGAAGGCTCCTTAGGGAAAAGAGGCATGCTTGGATTTAGGAATCTCAAGACAGGACCAGAAGCTAGCAATTCTCTGAGTCCTGTTTCCCTAGCATCAGATGGGTATGATGCTCTAGGGCCCTGCTCACCTAGTGCTAGTGAATACCAGAGAAGGTAAGTAGCTGGAGACTGCCAGAGGGCTAAGGAATTTTTCTTCAGTGTTCTCTGAGACAAACAGGTGAGCATTAATCGTGCTTAGTGGAGGATGTCTTGACCTGGAAGTTTAGATTTGGTTTCTAAGCCTAGTAGTACCACTGGATCACTGTGTGATCTTGAGCATGGCACCTTCTCTCTGAGTCTCCATTTCCTCATGTGTGGGCAGTTAGACTCATTGGGCTCTAAGGCCTATGTCACCTCCAATATTTCATCATTCTGTGTGTAAGGATGTGTGGTACAGTGTAGAAAGAACATTGTATCCAGAGTCAGAGGATCTGGGTTTAAACCTTGCCTAGTTTCATCACTTACCACCTGTGTGACTTTGGGAAAATCACTAAAGATCTCTGAACCTTGGGTTCCTCACCTGCAAAAACAGGGCTTGGTCTGATCAGCGGATAAGAATCCAAGAAGAAGCTAGGTGGCACAGCGGATAGAGCACCAGACCTGAAGTCAGGAGGACCTGAGTTCAAATCTGGCCTCAGACGAAACACTTGGCACTTACTAGCTGTGTGACCTTGGGCAAGTCACTTAACCCCAATTGCCTTAAAAAAAAAAGAATCCAACTAGGTCCTTGTTTCCTCAGCTTCTTTAGAAATTTGGTGAAGCCTGTGGACCCTTCGTAAGAATCAGGTTTTCAAATTCATAAAATAAAATACAGAGGTTGACAAAGGGAATCAATGTGTAACGAAAGGAGTCATCACAGACCCCACCCCAAGTCAAGAACCCCCGGACTGGACGGTCTCTGAGACCCCTTCCAGCACTAGGCCTAAGATCTCATGATTCCACAAACTGATCAAATTCCCCAAAGGATCATGGTGGGAATGAATGTCTAAGCTCAACATATACATCTCTCACTTTGGCAAGACCAAGTCGAGGGACAGAAGGCACTCGGAGGCAGGCAGGACCTGGGCAGGCCAAGCACTGGCTTCATGCTCCAGGTGCACCCTTCCCTTAGAGTGCTTAACAATCTCACTGGGGAAACCAGACTCACACAGGTGGGGAATAGAACCTCGGAAGATGGGGCTTCATTAAATGCTGCACTGCAAGGCGGAGATTGTAATTGCTGGAGAAGGCCATTGAAGCATAGCCTAAGCTGCAGCCATCACGGAATGACATTTTTGTAGGGCTTTAAACCTTGCAAATCACTTTCCCTGCATTATCTAGTCTGAGCCTTCCATTCACCTGGTGAGATAGGCATTTAACTCCCATTTCACAGACAAAGAAACTGCAGCACAGAGAGGTTAAGAAGTGATTTGTCTGTGGTTTCATAACTGGGAAATGTGAGAGGTGGGATTTGAATCCAGGTCTTTCTAATGCCAGCTCTAGCTCTCTGCCTACTTTACCACACCTACCTTCCGGAGAATAGGGTGGGGGGACCTGCCTGGAGGGCATAAATTGCTTTTCTTTGCAAACTTTTTCTTTTTGAACTTGGGCTGAAGGATCATTACAAAAGAAAAATCATTTTTTTGAGGGTAGTAACCCTCAGGAGGTGGCTCCAGACAATTTACTTCAACAGCGATTGCTGCTGGTGGTTTATGTGCCACTTTGCAGAGAAACCAATGAAGAACAGTCATAATGTCTCTAAGACCACTGGGGAGGGGGAGGCCAGTCTGAATTAGGGGAGAGTTTGACATATAGGAGATCTTAAAAGAAATACAGTTGAAATTCTTTTGCACACACAAAATAATAACAAGAGTTGACATTTACCACTTAAAGGTTTGCAAAGCACTTGACAAATATTGTCCCATTTGACCCTCACAAAAGCCCTGGGAAGTAGGTGCTATAATTATCTTCATGTTATAGGTGAGGAAACAGAGGCTAAGAAACATTAAATAATTTGCCCAGGATCTCACAGCTAGGAAATGTGAGAAGCTGGGTTTGAACTCAGATCTTCCTGACTCAAGGCCCAACACTCCATCCACTACACCGCCTAACCTCCTAATAATTAACTAGCTTAAGGCATTTGGCCTAATGGCATCCTTCAGGTTTGCTTTTGTGAGCCAATGGGTGGGCAGATCCTCAGTAAACATCATTTATGCTACAAAAATGCAAGAATGGCTTTTAATGAGTTTAGTTGTAGTTAATTATTTTGTTATTGTTCAGTCATGTCTGACTCTTTGTGACCCCATTTGGGGTTTTCTTGGCAAAGACACTGAAGTGCCTTGCCATTTCCTTCTGCAGCTCATTTTACAGATGAGGAAACTGAGGCAAACACGGTCACATAGCTAGTAAGTGTCTGAGGCTGGATTTGAACTCAGGAAGATGAATCTTCCTGACTCCAGGCCTGTTACTCTACCCACTGCACCACCTAACAGTCCACAGTTAATTACAGAATTCTCCTATGTGAAGTGACCTTAAAGAGCAACCAATTTAAAACCATCACTTTAGAGGGGGACACTGAGGCTGGAAACAAGGGAAGCAACCTGTCCCAGGTCACAAAGCAAGTTAATGGCAAAGTCAGGATTTGAACCCAGGACTCCTGGTACAGACTCTCCACTTTGGAGGTTCTTTGCACCATAGCATAGCTTTTAAGTTGTCAGAAAGCAGATTGTTCTCTTAAAATACCTTCTTCCTCTATGTTGTTTGGAATATGTAACTTTGTCTAGAAAATGCCTTCTAAATGGATAGTACTGGATATCTTGGCCCTGTTTTCTTTCCTTTGTCTTTTTTTGAAGCCTTTCCTTCCTTCCTTTTCTTTCTTCCAGAACATATTGAGCAGCTACTACTGCAAATCCCTATGTAAGGTTTTGGGGGAAATTCATGATAGATGATCATAAATTCTTAAGAGTGTATAATTTCATGTACTTAGATCAATTTGGACCAAGTTGCATGGTCTTTCCAGCTCAAAGGTATATATGGATGAACATGTGGATATGAACATTCATGCTTTGCAAGATGGGTTTATGTCTCACAAGAAGGGCCATATAAGGCAGGAGTCCTTCACCCCTTTTGTGTCCTGGCCTCCTTTGGCAGTGAGGTGAAGTCTGTGGATCCCTCCCTAGACCGACATTTGTAAATGTCTAAAATAAAGCACATGGGGTTGCAAAGAAAACCTACTATACTGAAATACATTTAACAAAATATTTTTTAAAAGTTCATGGACCTCAGGCTAAGAATTTATGCTTTAAAGGAAAGATAAGATAGGAAAGCATTAAGATGCAGAAGAGGTAACTTGGAAGAGCAGGGCTCCCATGTGAGTACTTGGGAAGTTAGAGGTAGAAGGGACTTGAAAGATCACTTAAAGGAAGCCCCTCGTTTTACCGAGGAGAAAACAGAGGCCTAAGGGAGGAAGTGACCTGCCCAAGGTCACGCAGTGAATGAATGGCAGATTTGAAACTATCACTCCCAAATCCGAGCTCCCTCCCCTCCTATGCTCATGAAAAGGCTGATTGGGCATCTGAGAGCAAGTGAACCCTGGACCACATCAACAATTTGCTAATGTGTTAGAAAAGCCCTCATTTTGCTTTCTTAGGAGAAACCTCCTATGGGAAAAGCTGTTGAAGAGGCATCGAGTGTCCCTGGATCACATTTCAGTGGCAGACCTGATGCCCCGGGCTGGATAAGGGGCCTTGCACCCAACCTGGCCAATGCAGTAGAACTGTTTCTCACCTGCAGGCCTGGAGTTCCAGAGCAATGCCTGTGAATCCCCAAGGGAACTGCTCTGGATTCAGTGAAAGGCAGATTCCAGCAGACCTGGGATGGACTCATTTAGCTCCAGGATACAGGGAGCCTGAGCCCTGGTCCTCTCCCTTCCTCCCGTGATAAATGCTCTAATAGCCTGGCATATCTGACAGACTTTATCTGCAAATATGTTCAAGACTTGTGCTCTGGCTGGCTTTTAGGAATCAGCCAGCAATCTATTCTAGGGATAACATCATCCTTTACCAGGGGAAACATTAAAAATTAACCCAGAGGACTTCATATTTTTCCACCAGGAGGAAAGCTGCTATGGTTACCAGATAATGCACGCACTAAGCTGGAATATAGATAAGAAATTTTTTTCTCCCCCTCTTAAGAAAGAAAGTAAAAGACCCTGATGACAGGCAAACCAGAGAAATGCCCTGTGGGCAAAATGAATACAATTAGCATCAGCCTAGCCTCATCTGACCTCTGGAAGCCTCATAAAGCTCCTGAATAACAGACAAAGGGCCAGCAAAATAGACTTTCAATGTATAGTTTGATTGGGGGCAAAGATGTGTAGGGTAAATGTATTGGGACTGTAGGGGAGGATGTAAGGGTGGTGTGCAGAAAAGAAACAGGATTCGAGGTAAGTGCTTCCTCAGAAAACATGAGATCAGCCCCAGTAACACACAAACACACACACACACACACACACACGCACATGCATGTCCAGCTCTGAGTACCAAACATCTACATGG